GCAGGAGCAGCAGGAGGTGGCACGCGAGGAGCAGGCGGCGGAGGGGCGCGGGCGGAGGGCGCCGCGCCAGCCCCATCGCGGGCACAGCCAGGCCCACCCGGCCGTCGGGGCGCGCGGGCGCGCTCTCGCTCGCTCCCGGTTCTGGCGGCGGCGGCGGCGGCGGCGTGTCGTCGTCCTTCTCCTTCCTCGCTCGCTGCTCGCTGGGCTGCCGCCTGGCCCCGCCCACTCCCAGGTGGGGCGCTGACGTCACTCGGTCCGCCCTCCCAGCCCCGCCCGCCGCGCAGGTAGCGTCGCCCGCAGCCGGATCAGGTGCGGCCGGGGGGCGGGGCTTGGCGGGGCTGGCTCCGCCCAGGCAGAAGCGCGGCGCCCGAGGCCACGGCGGGCGGAGGAGGCTCCCGCCCCAGAGCTTCCCTCCTGCGGCGGGCGGTTCCGCAGGCACCTTGGCCCCGAGGCCTCCCCACGAGGCGCCTGCCCTTCCGGCCCCCAGCGCCCCCTCTCCGTGGGGCAGACGAGCAGCAACGCCTTAAGGAAGGAGCCCCAGCGGGGGGGGGGGGCAGGGCCAGATCCTGCCCGTGCCAAGGCGAGGCTGCTCGGCACAGAGGCTGCTCTTGCTCCTGCTTGCAAGATGCTTCTGGACCAGCGTCTGGATCCGAAGTGGGCGAGAGTGATGGTGGCGCATCTCCAGCTGGCGGGGGGGGGGGCTGAAGCGGCTCCCATGTTCTCCGGACGGGGAATGTAGGTCAGGTTGGTGAAAGGGCTCCGGCTTAGAGGCTGCAGCTGCTGCTTCCTTGGAGGGCTGGAGCGGCAGATTGTGAGGGGGGGGGGAGAGGACTTCATTTGAGGGCTCCTTGAATGGCGGGAATAAGCTGCTCACTGCCAAACCCCAGCCCCTCTCCCTGCTGCCTCCGTTCCTCCTTCTGCCTGAAGGAAGTTGGCCTGAGGCAAGGAGAGCAGAAGGGGGAATTCGCTGAGCGGGGGGGGGGGGCTGGCCCACTTCTGCCCCTGCTTCACTTTCAGGCCCTGGTTCCCCTCTGGCTGGCTGCCCCACAAGATCCTGTGGCAACCCCAGCAAGCCCAATCACCCAGGTGCTTCCTTTACAGGTGTCCGCCCAGTCCAGCTGCTAGGAAGGGAAGTGTCACTTGGGGGGCATTTCCAGGCAGAAGCCGAGTGGGTCAGCCTGTGGGTTCAGGGAGAGGACAGAGCCAGGATGAGACAGGCAGGATGTTTGACACCTGGGGTGGACAGGTGTAGAACCCACCTTATATCTGTGGGGGTTTTAAACTGCTTTTAACATGGCGTTTTAATTGTCATAGACCTCCCTGGGACCTTAGGGTGAAGGGCAGGTGTAGCAGGAAACCCCCCACCCCAATCATTCTGTTTGCACAAACTTCACACACACTCACACTCACACACACTACATACGCCACATTTCTGTTATAAATTCATAGAAAATCAACCATACATCGGATTTGCACTGTTCCATTTTTTACTCCATGTGACAAGGACTATCAAAGGGGGGTGGCTTGGTTTCTGGTCAGCCATAATCCCTTCACCATCCCAGCACATCCACAGGAGCCCTGCCCAGTTGCTATGTCAGCCTTGATAATCCCAGACAGAAGACAATCAAAATGACAAAGAACTTGCATATGGTAGTGGATTCACCACAGACTGAAACAAAGGACAATGATCAGATCTTCCCTCTGGGGGCAGGAAACTGCAAACTCCCCTTTGTCACCTGGAAAGTACTCATGGGGAGGGGGAAAGGAGGAACCAGCCAGGTGACAGGACACTCAGGTTACCACCACAACTCCTCCCTCAACCCCTCCTTTCTGTAATGTATGCATGATGTTTCCGGGGGTGGGCTTGACCTGGAGGAGGGGAATTTCAAAAGTTTTTATAAGGTCTTGCAGGCCATTGTTCTGGGTCTTTCCTCTCTCCTGCGAGTGAGGGGAATACCCTGTTGCAACAGTTCAATAAAGGCCAAGCCTACAGGCTGCTGTTTTGCTCCAAGTTATCCTGGTTGGTGTCTTTGTTTTTGTCCAAGAGAGCCCTCGGATTTTTCCGGTAACACAGGTAACTAATCATACCTATTGCTGTATACCACCCCAATCTCAACAGTGCCAGATCCCAGCGGTTCCTTTTGGAAGCCCCAATGATGGAGGGGTTCATTGCATCGGCACTCCGAGGGGGTTTTGCTTCTCCCATGGGCACCGCCTTGGATCCAGACAGACACCAGACATTGTTCTCTGCTGCTTTGCATCTCAGTCACACAACTCCTAATTCTAACCTCTCTAAGCTCTGGCTTTATCTGTTTAGGGAAAGGCACCACTCATTTGCCGTCTCACACCAAGTCTTTTTGATCCTTTGTGTCTTAATGGCCCTTCAACCAGGCTATTTCCTGGACATGGGAAGCTTAGCCTAGCTTAATTAGCTCTTAAAATTTGCTGATTCCAGGGGATTAGAAATGTCTAGCACCCAACAAATACAAATGTATTTGTTGGATCCAGGAAGGGATAAAATTAAAAAATACAGATCAATTGGATTTGGAAGGTCATGACAATAGATTTGGCTAGCATCCATACTTATGGTACGAAAAGGCAAGAGTACATCAAAGTTTTCAAAATCATATTATAAAAAAAGCAATATTTAAAGTTTGGGAGAAGTATAAAGGAATACTAGAACAAAAAGCACCATGGTGGCTTTCTCCACTAGAGGCAATATCGGGGGGGGGGGATAAATATGGGCTACGTACAGAGAGTTGTTAATAGAATCAGAAAGTCAATTAAAATTGAAATAATTTAACAAAGTTAGAGAGAATGTAACAGATTGGTTACAATATTTACAGTTAAATGAAATATTTAAGAATCATATAAAGACAGGATTTCAATTTTTCAGAGATAAATAATAGAAAATGATATAAAGTTAATATCAAAAATGTACAATCTGTTGCTAGAATGGGAAACAAAAGATGAAGAGGTTAAACCAGTTATGATTAATTGGGCACAAGATGTGGGACACAATATTCAGATGGAGGAATGGGAAAAATTATGGAAGAATTAGTTTAAATTTACAGCATGTGTGGCGACATGTGGTGGGATTGTAAAATTATAAAGAAATATTGGGAAATGATTTATAATGAACTGAAGAAGATGTTTAAAATAAACTTTGTTTTAAAAAAAATCCAAAAGCTTTCCTACTAGGTATTACAGAAGTGGACCTACCAAAAGCACAACATTATTTATTTATGTATGCAACTACCGCCAATACTTTGGCCACCTCATGAGAAGAGAAGACTCCCTGGAAAAGACCCTGATGTTGGGAAAGATGGAGGGCACAAGGAGAAGGGGACGACAGAGGACGAGATGGTGGGACAGTGTTCTCGAAGCTACAAACATGAGTCTGACCAAACTGCGGGAGGCAGTGGAAGACAAGAGTGCCTGGCGTGCTCTGGTCCAGGGGGTCACAAAGAGTCGGACACGACTAAACAACTAAACAACAACAACCGCCACACGGACATTACTAGCACAACTTTGGAAAGAAGAAGGTGCCCTAACTAAAGAAGATTGGCAAGTTAAATGGCAAAACTGACAGTGAAACTAAGAAACAGAGACGACAATGAATTTAAGGAAGAATGGAAGATGTTTATTGCATATATACAGAAGCATTGTACACAGGTTAATACATTAGCAGGGTTTTAAAAGTACTTGTAATTTCAGAATGAATGAACAATAGTGATTTAAATAAATTATAAATTTAATAATGGACATGCAGTATATTGACAAATAATGGAACCAGGGAAGGGACTAGAGGGAAATCAATTTGTTTTGTTTTATTGTGTTGTTGTTGTTGTTGTTGTTAGGAAAACCAATAAAATATTCTTTTTAAAAAGAAATGTCTAGCACTCAGCTTAATACACATGGGTCTAGTATCCAGTTTCAACACTCCAAGCATTGATTACATTCTAACACCTACTAGACCCAGGAATTTAGGGGAGTCTGGTAGCCACAAACTCTTCATAATCTGGGGCCCAATGTGGGGGTGGTATCCAGGAACCCAGAGAAGAATCAAGTGCCAGTTGGCACTAGATCCAGGTTCCCTGCTTTGGCATTAAGTCTGACAACTCTTCAAAATCATTGGGGGGGGGGGTTAATTGCGTGTAAGAAATCTATTAAAAATCCTTTTGAAAGCAGCAGCGCTCTCCATGACTGGCCCCCTCAGTGACTGGGTGCCTTTTGGTGTCCAGGGTGGGGTTTTTTTCCTGGGGGGGCACTAATGGGAGAACAGCCGTTCTGCTGCCTGAGGCCCTCTTGATGGGGTCCTGGAAGGAAGAGCAGCAAAAGAGGCTTGAGCCCAGGAGTCCGCCTCTTTTCTTTTGGCCTTAGGCCCACCCCCGGCCGGCCAGCCATTGTCCTCCCTGGCCGAGGAAGGCCGGCTCCAGCAGGTGGGTGGCACCCGCCCAGGTGAGCCTCGCTGGGTGCCGCAAACCCCGCCCACCTGTGGGGAAGGGAGGGCCGATACTGCCGCCTGAGGCCCTCTTGCTTGGGGTGCAGCTTGAGGTGGTGTAAGTGGGGCTCCCCCAGAGTTGGGGTCCCCCTGCCTCCTGCCCAGAGTCACCCCAGGCACAAAAGGGATATGGGGTCTCTCAGGCAGAGGGCCCCCCTCCTAGGGGGTGCCCCCCCCAACTGACCCTTCCTCTGCCCCCAGGGTGGTTATTACTGTATTTACTCAAATGTCATGCGCACCTTTTTTGTCCAAATTACCGTACTTTTCCTTGTATAAGACGAGGGTTTTTTACTCAAAAATAAGGTTAAAAAATGGGACTCGTCTTACACACAGGCAGTGCATTGTGGGGCCAGGGGATTGGTTGCAGCTGTGAGCTGCAGCTTGTCATTGAGGGCCTTCTCGGTGGTGGCGCCCACCCTGTGGGACACCCTCCCACCAGACGTCAAGGAAAAAAACAACTGCCAGACTTTCAGGAAGTATTTCATATCTGAAGGACTATTGTATTTTAATATTTTGTTGGAAACTCAGCCAGATAGGCAGGGTATAAATTTATTATTATTATTATTATTGGCGATTTGGTGGGTGATTGTTGGCTGCCATGGGTTGGCTGTTGCTGCCACAATCGGGCGCTCGATATCCGGCTGCTGTTGGCGAGCGGGAAGACACTTCCTGTGTTCGGCGTCGCGAGCGAATCTGAGCGTTTCCCATTCTGGTTAGTGATTTTCTGCATCCCCCCCCCCCCAGAAGCTCAAGAAATCTTGGCAACCTCCCCCCCAAAAAAGCTCAACAACCATGGGCCATCTCCCCCCATTTCCTTTAATTTGAGTCCCCCAAAAGAAGGGGCGTCTTATACAAGGGGGTGTTATCCATGGAAAAATACGGGATGTCGCAAACATTAGGGTGTGCGTTTAGATTTGCGTAAATATGGTATTCTTCTTCTTTTTCATTTGTTCAAGGTATCAAGAAACCGCAGGCATAAAACACACAAGACCTAAGATAAGAAGCACCGTAAATGGGCAGCTTTCCAAGGGACAGGCTAGATGGCAGCTGCAGGCCCAGGCGCCTGATGGAGGCCCAGACCAGGCTGGGGCCTTGCCTGCCCTCCTGCCCCTGCTCCCTCGGGACCGGCAGGCCCAGAGCCGCCCCTTCGGGGAGGGGGCACCCCCAATTGGCCCCCAGTTGAGCCCCCGGGGCAGCAAGAGGACAAGGCCCTGCCCTGAAGGGGGGCAGCTGGGGGGGGGCCATTTTGCCGCTGGAGCCGCAACTCCCCGCCAAGGTCTCCTGCCTCGCCTGGGGACCCCCTCATGGGGGAATCTGGGCGGGGGTGGAGGGGCTGAGGGTGGCTGGGCCTTGTCTTGGGGGCAGAGCAGGGAGAAGCCGCTTTGTCCTCCTCCCCATGTCTGCCCCCCCCAGTAGACACAGCGGCCGGCCCCCAGCCCTCAAGCGGTGAAGGCCACGTCAGCCCCCCTGCGCCTGGTGGTGAGAAAGTCCTCCCCTCCCCTGGGGAAGCCTGGTCCAGTCAGCCCCCCCCCCCATGCCAGGCACCATCTCCTGAATGTCTGGTGGGGGGCACTCTGGAGCCCCCTTTGCCTGGGCTGGGACTGGCCTTGGTGGCCTTTGCCTGCCTGCCTGCCTGCCTCTGACTCGCTCTCTCCTCTCTTGTCTCCATTCCAGGCCTGCTTTGGGCCGAGAGGCTTTTCCTTCGTGTAACAGGTAGGATGATGGGGGACTTCTGCGCACGTGGGGAAGGCAGGTTGGAGGGAAGTTTCCCCCGCCTGAGGCCAAAATGGGAGCCACTGGCATGCCTGAGAAGCCCCCTTTTCCTGTGAACAATGCCCCTCTCTCCTGGCTGACCAGACTCCTCTTGCAGATGGAGGCTCTATCTACTTGCTGATTAACAAAGAAGCAGATAGGCTGGAATTTGGCAGCAGCCCTTCTGCTTTGCACCCGGGGCGCGTTACATCAGAAACCGTCGGTGTGGGGCAGAGTGTGGGACCAGGAGCTGGGAGACAGGGTGCAAATGCCCACTCAGCTATGAGCCTTGGGGCAGGTACGGCCTCTTAGCCCTGCCCCATCTCTCAGGGTTGTGTCCCGTGGGGGAGAGTCATGCATGCAACCTTGAGCTCTTTGGAGGAAAAGTGGTATGTAAATGGGAACAAACTGGAAGGAAGAAGAACGAAGAGAGAGAGTGAAAGTACAGTGCAAGTCCCATAATAAGCCATGACAAGCGGCTTGGGCAGCCCCTGGGGAACAGCCTCCCGAGGTGACCTCCTAGGGGCAAGAGCTTGCACAACTTGGCTGTGGCTTGTTTTCTGGCCTGCTGCGGTTGTGGCCACGGCCTGGACGCCTGCTTGGCAGCAGAGGCCACAGATCTGCAGCAGCCAGACAATAAGTTGGTGGGGAGCACACACACCCTCAAATCTTGGGCTGGGCAATCCATCTAGCGCCAGTCCCCTCCCGTGAAACTGGGCACATCTTCAGTCTGTTGAACTATTACCTTAATCTGCTGGCTTTTGCTCTGCCTTTGATGGTGAGATAAAAGGGTTGCATCTACCAGCTTGTAAAGGCACATCCAGAATATGTTCAGACAGCTTTTTATTAACCTTCTCTTGGGATAACTCCAGAATTAGGGCCTGTTAAATAACCCACTAGAAGGCAAATTAGACAGTGCTTCCCCGAGTCCTGACTAGGCCTTCCACAGAACTGGCCTTCCCGTCCACTCCCAGAGCAAGACACTCTGGACTTGCGTGGTTGTTGGGAACATGGGCCTTGCCAGGCTGCCTCATCTTGTTTCGCTGGTCAAGGGTTTGGTCCCCAAGAGTGGCCAGTCGGATGGCCCTGCGAAGCTCACTAACAGGGTGTGAGGCCCATTTCCTAACATCTAACTGACCCCTTCCCCCTACCTCCCAGGCCCTGTAGCTGATCCTAAGCATGTACTGTATAACTGAAACCCTGTTCCTCTCCTTCCTCTGTTTTCTCCCCTCTGTCAAGTTTCAAATGATAAGCCCCTTGGGACAGGGACCTGTACTCTGTAAAGTGTCATTCATACTGATGGCACCATATAAACAAACAATCAGAGACTTTTAGAGTTGGAAGGGACCCCAAGGGTCATCAAGTCTGACCCCCATTTGCCGGACTCCAGTCTGCAGGAGCCTCACCTGTTCTCCCACAATTCCCGAAGATTATAGGCAGAGGCTCTGATAGTACACCAGCAAGCTCCTTTCACACCCTTGTGTGCATCAGGCCCTGGAGATCTGAATTAATTCAAAATAGCTAGGTCTTCCCTGACCACCTCTTTCCCTGTCTTAGGCAGCAGCTCCCTCCTTGGGGCGTTTATTCTCTTGTCACCAGGCTGGGCTCTGCTCTCGTTTTGGGCGAAGACACAGGCAAAGTAGGTGTGGATCAGTTCTGCCTTTCCTCTGCCCCCAACAGTATTTCTCCACCTGCTGCTTGCTTGTTCTTCCTCTTGCTTTGAACATAGCTGGAAAACCCCGTATTATTTTTAACCTCTCTCGCAGGATTGAGTGCTTTCTGAGCTTTAAGCTGCCTGACCAGGGAGAACGGCTAAATCGCAGGACACCCTAGCAAAGCGGTTGACAACACAGTTTGCCCACTGCTGCCTCTGCCCCCCAGTAGTCAAAGGCGCAACCTCTTCCTCCTGCCTCAGGAGGCGCCCCTTTCCTCTTGCAACCCTGGTCTCCCTGGCCTGATGCGCTTTGCGTCTTCAGCCAGAGCAGAAGGCTGCAGCTTCTCAAGGCCCTTTTCTGGAGGACTAAAACATTACAGACATTAGTTACCGGTAGGTAGCCGTGTTGGTCTGCCGCAGGTATCTGAAGAAGTGTGCATGCACACGGAAGCTCATACCAATAAGAAACTTAGTTGGTCTCTAATGTGCTACTGGAAAGGGATTTTTTTATTTTGTTTCATTTACGGACATTGTTTATCTAAGTTTTGCACAGAGTAGACTTACTGAAAGTAATGGACCTACCTTAGTCACATTCATTAATTTCAGTGGGTCTACTTTGAGTAAAACTTTGTTGACTACCACCCTCGTATTATAAGAATGTTATATTATTGCCGCACCCTGGTAGCACATTTCTAGTGTTCTCCTAGCCCTGGCCCACTTGTTTTCCTCCCCATCTATGCTCTCTTGCATCCCAGGAGCAGCTGCTTCCATGATTCCAACTCAGCCTTGCCCAGCCAGCCAGGAAGTGAAGCGCTCAGGTCCAGGCCTGGAGCTCCACCCTGCTGCCCCCCTGCCCCCCTCCCTGCCCCCACCACCTGTGCCCTGGAGTCCTTCGTGCTCATTGGTTCGCCTGTCAGCTCAGCACCAGGTGCGCTGAGCAGGTGGTGACTGGATCCCCTCCTCCCTCCTGCTCCCCTCTTGTGCCTCTGACACTCCACTTTCTCTCTAAGGCTGCTGCTCTCCTTGCCAGGATTCCTGTGGATCCTTCCATTTGTGCAGCTGGTGCGTTGAGTAGATGCCTTCGGTTGCTACCCTGTCACCCAGTGTCACTCAGTCCTTGAGGCGCCTCTCTGGGGTGGGGGTGCTGCATATTGGGGGGGGGGAGAGTTGGTGACTCTCAGGCTCCACTCTCAATCAAGCTCCAAAGCCGCTCAGCCCACCTGCTGCTGCATTGGAGGAAGAGATCTCTTTATCGCCTGTGATCTCATTTGACCAGAGTAATAAGAGTCTTCCTTTTGGGATGATGTAGCACCCCCCCCATAGCTTTCTAGATGGAATGAAGGATATATAATTGAAGGGCAAGTCCCAGGCTGTAGCCAGCCGCTGGGCGGGGGGGGGGGGTCTGCGAAGGCAGCCTGTGTTGCTCATGCAAGAGCAGCCAGGCTGGCCGCCAGCCCTTCTCTAATGAAGCCACTTAGAATGAGCCTAATCTAGAGTCCCTGCCAAGAATGCCACTCTCTTCCTCCCCTGTCCCTGCCAGGCTGCTCAAGGCAGCCCTGTGGGGCAGATCTGCTCTGCCTCTGCTGCCCTGCCCTGGGGCTGCAGCCATCCCTTCTCTGCCAGTTTAATCAGCCCTGGACAGAGTGACCCCCCCCCCCCAATTTCACCTGCCTGTGCTTGCCCTGGGGGAATTGCCCTCCTGCCACTGGTGGAGTGGGGGATGTTCTCCTGTGTGTCTTGGGTGGGCCTCTCTTTGAACATGGCCAGGATACTCCAGCTGGTCCAAAACAGGCCAGCAGCGTCTGGCTGACAGGGTCACACCATGCTGCCTGCGCTGCTTTCCCAAGGTGTCCTTGCCAGTTAATTTTTGCATTTTTAGTGATCTTTCACGGGGCATAAAGACCACTTCTGGAAATGTAGTGGAACTTTAGCACTCAATTCAGGGCTAGTTTTTCCCCAGAAAGAAACAATCTGTTTGCAACCCTGTTAATGCGGGAAATCCCGTTGCTGGGCCCGACTCAAAGTGCTGCTGAATAACAGATTATATTAAAAGAGGGAAAGGTTATGTTGATTAATAAATAAGGTAGAGTGTGAAGATTAATTATTTAAACCAAAATTGAGAAATAAGGGAAGAATTTGCTGAAATAACGAACTAAACTAGAATACAAAAAGGGAGGTGTGAGGAGGTTCAAGAATTAAGCAAATGAAAAACTGTAATTTGAGATTTGTATTTTTTCTTTTTCCCCCTATTTTTTCTGTTTTCCTTTTTGGGTTAGGGTTGGGGCTTTTTATATGTATTGATGAAACTTTGAATAAATATCATTTGGGGGGGAAAACAAAGTGCTGCTATTACCCTTTAAGGCCCCCAAAGGCTTGAGGCCGGGGCAGCTGAAGGGTCAAGGCCCTTTTCTGGATGTGGGGGAAGGAGAAGCTTCCTTGAGCAAGACTCTCTTCAGTTTTGTGTCCCGTCCCCCCAGCGAGGCTCTCCTGAGGCCCACGCTATAGCCTTTTTTTGCACCAGCTAAAGACGTTTTCATTTCCTCAGACATGCTTTAGCCTCTTCGGTGCTCCTGAGATCCCACATCCTGATATTGCTGTCTCTGGCCGGCTTGGGGTTAGTTTGCTTTTAGATTTCACGTTTGTGTTTTATTACTTGGTAGTCTTTTCATTTTTACTGTAAATGGCAGAGAGCCTTTGTTGTTGGGCAATGTATCAGTATTGCAGGAGAGTAAATAAGCCTTAAGAGGAGAACTTGAGGGGCAGCATGGGGCAAGGAAGGTGTGTTCAGTGCTCTTGAGCCTCATGCCCCCCCCCCAGACGCCTCCCAGAGATCCCTGTCAAGCTGGTGAGAAACTGGCTGGCTAGACAAGACTCTCTGAACACAGAGATGAAGCAGAACCGACAGCCGGCTGCTCTCCACCTTGACTCACATTGACTCACACAGTGCCAACTGGGGGCTAGGCCTGCGGTGCCAGGGTGCGGCTGTGGCAGCAGCATGGAGGGCCTTGGAATGTGACAGGGATGCCCCACATTCCCCGGAGTCTCCCTGGGGGCCTTGCCTCCCCAGCAGGAGGAAGGTGGGCTGCCCTCTGTCCCTGAACAAGGAAGCCACTCACCCTTTGGGGCACAGTCCTCTTTGTCCCCCACCAGCCCCGGAGTTGGCGTGGGCACAGGAAGAAGGCCTGGGAGCTTGAGGGAGGCAGAGAGGGGTGGGCATGGCCGCAATGGACTGCTTTGCATCTGCTGCCCTCTCCACCCCCTATTTGTTGGTGATGGGGGGGTCTTTTCCCAGTGGGGGGGGTGGTGCTGGTGGGTGAGGAAAGCACATTCATTCTAGCTCTCCCCTCTTCAGAGGCAGCCGCAAGCTCTGTTTCCCTTGGACCACCATGAGTTCTGGACCGCGAGGAGGCAGCAGAGATGGCGCTGGCAAAGGCCTGGCTGGAGCTGGGGCCGCCTCTCTCTCCTGGCAGCCCCCTCACATCCTGGTGGTGGAGGCCCACCCCTCCCACTGGGCCCACACCTGCCACAAGCTCTGCGATGCCCTGGAAAACGTCTTCTCTCTGGCCTGCAGTCTGGCGGGTCCACCCCGCATCCCTCTGCTCAGCCTCTACGTGGTCCAGAGCCAGCAGGAGTGCCTTCTGCCCTTTGTGGTGAGTGAGTGCTGCTGGGGGGCACAGTGAGCAGCTGGGGGGAGGCATCTCTCTGAAGGGGGCATCTCTGCTGGTCTGTCCATGCAGAGTCCTGCTCCTTGGCTTGCCATCCCAGCACACGCCAGCCATGTTAAAGGGCTCCAAACGCCCACTTTCAAGGGGCCTTGTGCCATGGAGGGCTCCTTTGTGTTTTCTGGAGGGGTAAAATGGAGCAGCTTCAGGCGGCAGCACTTCTGGGCAGAAGGGGCAGCTTGGAAGAAGCTCACCTCAGAAATGGTGCTGCAGAGCTGGAAAAGGTCCAGGAAGGGGCAGCCAAAGCGATCCAGGGAATGGAGCGACTCCCCAAGAAGGAGCAATGGCAGCACTGTGGGGGGGTGTTAAGTTACAGAAAAGGTGCGCAAAAAGCGACAGAATAGAAGTGTGTGCAATGCTGCACTTCCTGGAGAATGTGAGGAGCTTTTTCTCCCTCTCTCGTAATGGCCAATCCAGCGATCCTGAATGGTGGAAGGTTCAGGACAGAGAAAGAAAGTGCTTTTCCATGCAAAGTGTCGTTAGACTATGGAACTCCTTCCCACAGGAGGCACCAATGGCTTTAAAAGCAGATTAGACAGATGCATGGAGCATAAGGCGATCTGTGGCTCTGCCTCCTCTGTCTGGGGTTGGATGCTTCCGAATGCCCGCGGCTAGGAGTGCCCGTGGGGGAGCCCTGCTGTTGCCCTCATGTCCTCTTGGGGGCTTCCCTTGCTTGGCCAGTTGGCAGCCAGTGAGAACAGGGCACTAGGCTAGGTGGGCCTCCTTGCGCCTGATCCAGCAGCCAGGCGCCTCTGAGGGCCTTGCCCTGCTCTTGCCGCAGACCTCCCCCTCCAGAAAACTCTTCAGCTGTCCCCAAAGCCAAGAGGACCCCTTATTTCTCTGGAGGAGCTGAGCCTCAGAGAGCCTGGCCACCTTCGTCCCGAGCAGACAAGGCAGTTGTCTCCTTGCATGGCTCCTGCAGCAGACTCCCAGAGAGCCTCGGCTGGGCTGGGCTGCAGCTCATTCCTGGCCAAGCATGTCTAGACTCCGGGTGTCTCCTGCCCACAGAGGGGCTCATTAACTCAGGGTAACTGGCAGCAAAACTGCGCTCAGCACCCTGGCTGTGTCTCTGCCTTGGCCCCCGGCCATGACGCCCAGGCCAGCCCCAGCAACAGCCCAAGCAGCTGCATCTCGGGGGGGGGGGGCTTTCCAATGCCCAATGTGTCCCACTTCATGCCCATCCCAGAGACCAGGGGAGCAGGCAGAAGCTGTGGGCAGAGTGCATGGCCAGGGCAGGGTCTTCTTCCTCCTGGGAAAGGAGGCGAGAAGCAGCTATTTGCCCCCCCCCCGCCCCAGGGGTGAGCACCCCTCACAGGGAGGCATTGGGCCCTTGCTGAGGCACATCTCCTGCCCACTGTCGTTGCAGCCGGTGAGAGGGAGCTTCTCTCGGCTCCAGAGCTGCCTGGCGGAGCTGCGCGCCTTGCCCTCCGAGGGGGTCTTCCACCTCACGGAGGACGCCATAGTCCAGGCCGTGCAGGATGGGCTCCAACAGTTCAAGCAGTACACGGGGCAAGGCATGGCTGGGGCCTCCCTGAGCAGCTCTTCCCTGGAGGTAAGAGGAGGCCAGACTGGGGAGGCCAGAGGGAGTCCCGTCCCCCCCCCCCCGTCTGCTTCGCTGTTTCTCTCCACTTCCATCTCCCCCATCACCTTCCAGCCAGGTTGGGGGTCTTCCACTGCAGGGGGTTAGACTAGATGATCTTCGGTGTCCCTAGGAGATTTCTGCCCAAACATCTTTCCCCAAGCAGAAGCTGGCACAGAGGCGCTAATAATAATAATAATAATGGTAGTGGGCAGGAGCCTCTGGTGCCCTCCAGGACCACATCCATTCCTGAGTTGCCCCCTCTCTGCCTGCCTCTTCTGCAGCCTCCAGCAAGACGAGGAGGCCCTGCAAACCCACCTCTGCCATCCTGCAGGCAGTACAAGGAGCTCTGCAAAGCACCAGTTTGCATGGAAAGAACAAGTTGATTCCTTGCACAGAATCCCGCATGACGGGGCCAGAATCTGGGGAGTGGCAGATTCCCTCTCGTGTGCCCCATTACTGCCAGGGATGTTCATGGCAGAGGGGCACTAGGAAGCCTGGGCAGATGGTTGGTGGCACTGCCATCTGTTGCTTCAAGAGGCTCAGGGCACATGTCCATCTATCCCTCCCCAAATTTATCCACTCAGCATCCTGGTGAGGTGCATTGAACTGGACCAAGGTCACCCAGTGAGGTTCCTGGCTGATCAGGGATCTGAAGCGCCCCCCCCCACCCCTCTGGGCTCCCCTCTGAGTCTCTGGCAGCCATGGGGCTTCTCTTCCAGATGACCATCCTGACTGGCCAGTCCAGCGCCAAGGTGGCCAAGCAGCTGGAGGCTGGGCTGCAGGGCATTGACCTGGTCAGCCTCCGCCAGCTGCAGGTGGTGGAGGTCTCCACAAGGGGGCTGCAAGAGGCGCCTGAGGCTGCGGCGGAGGACGGAGAGGGAGCCACCCCCAGCAGCAGCAGCGGCAGCCGTGGGGGTAAGTGCCCCCCAACCTGTGGCATTTCAAATGACGCTTCCAAGCGGCATCACTCCGGGATGCTCCTCCGGTGTCTGCTCCAGAGCAAGCGCCATTCATGAAAGGGAACTCGGTGCTCAAGGCTTCTGCCTCTGATTAGCGGTGAATGGCTGGCAAAGTGCACAGGAAGTCAGTTTCTGTTCCCTGCGGGGCAGTGGGAAAGGTGGCGTTAATTCCTTTGGCTTTTACAGCACATTAAAATAAAATAAAGACAATGAAAGGATGCCACTAATTGAAGCCCACCCCGACCAGGCGGGGAGGAGAAATTGACAGAAGAGGCTTGCCAGAGATCTGCGCTGGGACCTCCCAGGCTGCTCAGTTTTAGCAGAGAGCAGCTGGAGAGGAACCAGTTGAATCTGGCTGGATTAGGAGGAACTTAGGTAATTGCGCTTGAGTGTCACCTAAAAGGGTGACACTCAGGGCAGAGACGGGTTTCCCGGGGCATCCAGGGCTGCTCTTTGCTGAGACTTGGAGAGTCGGGAGATCCAGTCGCAGATCTTGGTGCTCAGTGAATAATTCATGCCTCATCCCAAGCTCTGCTGAGGAGGAAGCACTTAGAGACGGAGGAAGCCGCTCGGCCCAAAGGGGGAAACCTCTAATTAAAGGCGCGAGAGCCCAGGAAAGCCTCTGCGGCACTTGGCCTGCCCCCTCTGGGCTGGCTGGCGCTGGCGCTGAATTTTAAGTGGGGGGAAATCACCACAAATCAGATCTTGGGGGGAAAGGCAGGAAACTCTGGCGCACAGCTGTGGGTTGGCACCAGCAGCGCCTGAAAGGGAGCCGGCAGGAGCCTCGGGAGGGCAAGAGCCAGGGCAGCTCTTTCTGCAACCATCACACTGCCGGTTGCAAAGAGATCGCGAGAGGGCCGTGGGCCAGACAGGCCCCAGCAGAGGCGACTTGACTTGATGTGGAGAGACAAACGCACTCCCCACCCCAAGTCACCCTTTGGCCAGGCCGGATGACAGAAGCCCTTCTCTGGGGAAAGCCAAAGAAACCGCAGGGGACTTTTTGCTTTCAGTCTCAGATGCAGAAGGGAAAGCAGCGAAAGGGGCCCAGCCTTGGTGTGTGGCTGGGCTGTGCTTTGGGTCTGCTTCCTCCCCTCCCGTTCGGAGGTCTCTTGCTAGCTGCAGGGAGCCTTGATCCACCTGGGTCTCTTGAGGAGCTGGAGTGTGGCTCCCTGACAGGACTGGGGCAGAGCTCTGCTGGATCAGAACCAAGGCCCGGCCAGTCTGCCCAGCCCCCCACCCTGGCCCCCCCAGATGCCCCTGGGAAGCCCCACAAAGTTCAGAGTGCCCCTGGTGCTGGAGGCACCAAGTAGCAGATTCCAGGCTAGGGCTCCTAGGAAGGGAAGCAAAAAGAGACAGGAATGCCTTGCTGCAGCCGCCAGGATTTTTAGCAATGGCCTTCTGCTGCCCCCTAGTGGGCACGGCCACCCTGCCTCTGCCCTCGCTTGGGCTGCCGGCTCTTCCCTTTGCAAGGTGGCTGCCCCCTGGCTGGCGCTGGAGGGCTGTGTGCTCCCTGCCTCCTCAGTGGGGCTGCTGGGGAGGGACAGATGGTGGCATCTGTCGTTCTTAATCCGGAGCCGCCTCCTTCTCAGGCGCAGATTTTGGCCCCCACCCCCTGCTGGCCTGATCCCCCTGCTCAGCCCGGATTAAGCCAGCCACCCTCCTTGAGCTGTGACTGGTCCTCTCTCTGTTGCTAACCAGGCAGGCAGGATTCCCACTTCTCCTTTCTCACAGCCACCGACTTAGGGAGAAAGATGAGTGATGACGACGACCCGAGATCTCCGAGTCTTTCCAGTGAATCGGAAGATTCACAGAAAGGAGCGCCAGTGGCCAGAGCAAAGGGGGGGCTAGGGGGACACCCCAGGAGGAAGGGACCAGCGGGGGTTCAGAGGGCAGCAGTTGGAAATCGGGGCCAGCGTCCCCACCAGAGCGCAGTGGAGAGGAAGGACGTCAGGGATCGAGCCCTGGCAGCTCGCAGCAGGGAGGAGGGCATGAGTCAGGAGTGACCACACCCCCATCGGGGAGCGAAGAAACGGTCAAGCGGAAAGTGGAAGGCTGGGCGCGCGCGCCAAGTTCAAATGCACGGGAAGGCGGCGCAGTAAGCAGCCCGGAAAGGGAGCCAGGTCCTAAAGCCCGACACAAGGAGACAGGAGGGTCCGGGGGGTCAGCGTCAGAGGAATCCCGGAGGGAGGAGACCACGGGGGGCAGAGGGACCCAGAGAAGGACGGTCAGGCAGAAAAGGTGGAGTAAGGCGAGGATATTAAGTTGGTGTACGAGGGGCGGAGATTCAGACGGAGCTTCGCCGGTCTAGCCATAAGACGTAGAGTTGCACGCAGCAGCTTGGAAATGGAAACTGTAACTCAATAAAGACTTTTATAAAGCGAACGCTGGCTAGCGTGATCCTCTGTGAGCTGGGATCGGGGAGCAGCTCTGACAACACCAAACTGGGAGGGGTGGCTAACACCCCAGAGGACAGGATCACACTTCAAAATGACCTTGACAGATTAGAGAACTGGGCCAAAACAAACAAGATGAATTTTAACAGGGAGAAATGTAAAGTATTGCACTTGGGCAAAAAAAATGAGAGGCACAAATACAAGATGGGTGACACCTGGCTTGAGAGCAGTACATGTGAAAAGGATCTAGGAGTCTTGGTTGACCACAAACTTGACATGAGCCAACAGTGTGACGCGGCAGCTAAAACAGCCAATGCAATTCTGGGCCTCATCAATAGGAGTATAGCATCTAGATCAAGGGAAGTAATAGTGCCACTGTATTCTGCTCTGGTCAGACCTCACCTGGAGTACTGTGTCCAGTTCTGGGCACCACAGTTCAAGAAGGACACTGACAAACTGGAACGTGTCCAGAGGAGGGCAACCAAAATGGTCAAAGGCCTGGAAATGATGCCTTATGAGGAACGGCTAAGGGAGCTGGGCATGTTTAGCCTGGAGAAGAGGAGGTTAAGGGGTGATATGATAGCCATGTTCAAATATATAAAAGGATGTCACATAGAGGAGGGAGAAAGGTTGTTTTCTGCTGCTCTAGAGAAGCGGACACGGAGCAATGGATCCAAACTACAAGAAAGAATATTCCACCTAAACATCCGGAAGAACTTCCTTTTTTTTAAAAAAAATTAATTTTTATTAATTTTCCAAACATATAATAAAACAAGTAACAAAACAAAATCATACAAGACATACAAACAAATAAACATGTATAATTTCTTAAACTTATTTTCATAAACCTTCTTTCCCGGACTTCCCCATACCTCCCTTTTTCTGCATCCTTATATTAACCTTTTCTCAGCAACCCTTCGTTTCAATTTGTTCAGTCATATTCATTATACATTTTTCCTAAAATTAAGATTTACAGCTGCAATTCTCTATTTCTTATAACCATGACATCTCAGCCATCATCAATTTTACAACAGTCTTTAAGATATTTTTTAAATTTCTTCCAGTCTTCTTCCACCGTTTCTCTCCCCTGGTCGCGGATTCTGCCGGTCATCTCTGCCATACCCATATACTCAGTCACCTTCGCTTGCCATTCTTCCAGAGTAGGTAGCTGCTGCGTCTTCCAATACTTTGCCAGAAGAATTCTCGCCGCTGTGGTAGCATACATAAAAAAGTTTTTGTCCTTCCTTGGCACCAATTGGCCCACCATACCCAAGAGAAAGGCCTCTGGCTTTTTCAAAAATGTCCATTTAAGGACCTTTTTAATTTCATTATAGATCATTTCCCAGTAGGCCTTTACCTTCGGGCAGGTCCACCAAAGGTGATAAAAGGTACCTTCAATCTCATTACATTTCCAACATTTATTACTGGGCAGATGGTAAATTTTTGCAAGTTTGACTGGGGTCATGTACCACCTATAGATCATTTTCATTATATTCTCTCTTAATGCATTACAAGCTGTAAACTTAATACCTGTATTCCATAACTGTTCCCAGTCATCAAACATTATGTCATGACCTATGTCTTGTGCCCATTTGATCATGGCTGATTTTACTACTTCATCTTGTGTATTCCACTTCAGCAGCAAATTATACATTCTCGACAAGTTCTTAGTATTGGGTTCTAACAGTTCTGTTTCTAGTTTCGACCTCTCCATCTGGAAACCTATTTTCCTGTCCTGTTTAAATACCTCATTTATCTGACGGTAGTGCAACCAGTCTCGTATCTTAGACTTTAATTTATCAAAACTCTGCAATTTAACTCTTTCACCATCTTGTTCTATAATTTCACAATATTTTGGCCATTTGGACTCCATATTTAGTTTTTTTGTCTCTTTGGCCTCCATTGGTGATAACCACCTGGGGGTTTTACTTTCCAACAAATCTTTGTATCTTATCCAGACATTATACAGCGCTTTCCTCACAATATGGTTTTTAAAGCCTTTATGCAATTTTACCTTGTCATACCATATATATGCATGCCAACCAAATCTATTGTCATAACCTTCCAGATCCAAAATGTCTGTATTCTCAAGAAGTAGCCATTGTTTCAGCCAGCAAAAAGCTGCCGATTCATAATATAGTCTCAGGTCCGGCAGGGCAAAACCCCCTCTGTCTTTTGCATCAGTTAAGATTTTAAATTTTATTCTGGGCTTTTTGCCCTGCCAGACAAATTTTGATATGTCTTTTTGCCACCTCTTGAAACAGTCCATCTTGTCCAAGATCTGGAGTGTCTGGAACAAAAACAACATTCTAGGCAATACATTCATCTTGATGACAGCAATTCGGCCTAACAAGGAAAGTTTCAACCTTGACCATATTTCTAGGTCTTTCTTCACCTCTGACCAACATTTTTCATAATTGTCTTTAAATAGATTTAAATTTTTAGAAGTCAAATTTACCCCCAGATATTTCACCTTTTTTGTTATTGTTAAACCTGTTTCGTTCTGAAACTTCTCTTTTTCTGCCATTGTTAGATTTTTCTCCAAAACCTTAGTTTTTTGCAT